ACAATTCAAAACGACCCTCCAGTCCTGGGGAGTCCAGCACAAAACCGTGACCGAATACTGGCCACAGGCAAATGGTCAAGTTGAACGATTCAACGAAGTCATCAAGAAACATGTCCTCACAGCACAAGCAGAGCAAAAGGACTGGAGAGAATCACTACCAAACCTACTTCTCCACTATCGAACCACACCCCACCGAATCACTGGACAGACCCCAGCAAAACTACTCATGAAGAGGGAACTTCGAACCAAGATCCCAGCAATTTCCACGGTGGACCAACCAACAGATTGGCACGAGGAAGTGCGAAGAAAAGACGATAACGAGAAGTCCAAAGCGAAAGCATACACCGACAAGAAACGTCATGCAGCGGAACGAAAATTGACCATAGGAGATAAAGTTCTGGTCAAACAGAAGAGAAAAAACAAGTATTGTCGACAAAGTTTTGCAAAGATCCGATGACAATTAATCACGAAGATCAACGGAACACAGATCGTGTTAACAGATCTCCATGGTAAACAGCACCGACGAAACTCTTCTCATGTCAAGAAATATTGGACCACATCAGAACCGAACAACGTAGAAGACGAGGATTTCGTTGCAGAATCCCAACCACCACAAAGCACCACTGAAGAAACCCCACCAGACAGCAACCCAAACATTCCCATCATCCAACCAGACCCAACCCCACTCCGCAGATCCACACGAGAGAAAACCGTCCCAGATCGCCTTAGATATTGAATAATGGACACCTAAGCTAAGAGAATCTGACATTATTAAGCACATAGATAATTTAGTTAATTTAGCAAGAACAATGGTACGAAATTCAAATTACGAACAATCAGCAATAGGAACCAAATATATATAGTTCAACCTAGCAAGTTACTAAACAGGGGAGGAATGTTGTATCCTGTACTTAATTCATTCCAGGCTTAACCTTTCACACACACACCCATATCATATATCCTAATTGCCTGTCAATGCTTGTATATATATTTACTTAATTCTATCAATAAATTAGTCTTTGATTACAACTAGTGCGAGTAGCATATATGCTAGAGGTCTCTATAACCCAAACAAGCAAGATACAAAAAATTTTTAAGCCACCATTGTTCACAAATAAAGTAAAAGCAGAAGCAGCAGCAACGTCGTTATACTTCATGGCACAGTAGTCATGGTCAGGTGTTGGTGTGGAAAAATGTGAGACTAGGCAGCTTTTGCAGGATGAACATGTAAGTTGTTTCACAGGTTTGTACACAATGTTGGCACCAATGTAATACAGGACATTTGACAGAAACTCGGATGTTGTTGGGCCATTTAAATGTGCAAGAAACAGGTTTTCTGCAGGTGCGGTGTCATCTTGTTGGTGGAAATCATCAGGTGCAGCTTCTTCCAGAGGAGCTTTGTGTTTCCTTGTGTGAAAAAATGGAATTACGGTTGTTGGGTAGTTTGAAAAGGTCTGACAGTTCGCATTCTTTGAAGCTGTCACCGCATTTCTAAGCAGCATTTTTCTGATGGCATACTTTAGTTGCAGACAATTTGGGTTATTGTTCCAACCACCTTTAGCTCGATGCACGAGAACAACAACTCGATATGATCCTTGGAGAATTTGTATGTTAGGAGATATTTGAATGCTTGATTGATTGAGGTAAACATTTCATTTGCCATTTCAATTGTTGATTTGATGCAGGTTACAAAGCCAATTACGAAAGTTTTACGTGGGTGGGTTGAGAAAAGTTGTTGAATATCAGCATGTGTTTTTAGTCCGAGAAAGTATTTCGCAGTGGATCCCAAAATGTCCTCCCAAGTTTCTATGCTTTCAGGTCGAAGGGGCTGCTTAAATCCTCGTCCTAAAGGATTACGGGAATTGAGGATGTCAAATAGACGGTCTATTGTTCTTACAAATTTGACTGTTCCAGCAGAGTCTTGAAATTGTTTCAGTTTCATGGAAGCTTCTAAAAATTCAATTGCATCTGCAACTGAAGAACTCAGTGTTTGTGCAGCCAATTTCACATTTATTTTGTGTCTCTCAAATTTCAAGTGTTTTGAGGACAACTTGTTTGCAAGGGTAAACCCTTCACTTTCCTGAATAGTGTTCAGTGATGTAAAAAAGTTCCATTTAATAAGTTTGTTTTCTTCATCAACAAAACATGTCAGGTGGGCAAGTGGATTTCTTGCGAGTTTTAACATATGACATGAATCAAGGATAGCATAAACATAGTAGTTTTCGGTTGGATGTTTGAATTTCGTTACCATTGAGTCGTAGGATGTTGTGAAATTGCAGCCAAGCTCTCGGAACATGGTAATATTAACGGTGATGCCATTTGTTGTTATGGACCACAGTCGAAGCCCTGCTTCTGCAGCCATTTCCAGTGCTATTCGAACAAGTTGTGCTTGTGTTTTTCCTAACATTTTGTCAGCAAGAAAATATCCAATTGGACATTTCCAGTGACTTCGTGCTACCACAAATAGAAAGACAACTGCTTCGGATGCAAGTATATCTGGCTTTTCTGTTGGTACAGTTCCATAGTTCACTAAGCCTACATACTTGTCTTGTTGTGAATCCCACAAGGTTTGCTTGCTTGTGGACATGGCGTCAATAATAAGACAGCAATCTTGCTTCTCAGGAAAACTCATGGCATCTTTTTGGAGAGATTCGAAAGCTTCTTTGATGAACCCGGGCTCACATTCTAAGATACTTGACCATTTTCTTATTATAGATGGATGTGGCAATGGAAGGATTGATCTCACATACTGATATGTTTTGGGTGAGTAATAATTTAGTGTTGTTACAAATTCTTTAACAATTTCTGTATACCTTCTACCATTGGGGGCACAGCTAACATTATTTTTAGTATCTCTGAAGATTGAAAGTTGGATTTTATCAAGTTTTGAATGCATATTTTCAGCATCGTCAGATGTTAAAATAAATTTTTGTTGCAGTTCATGGATAATATCTGCCATGGTTTGTTGCTTTGCCTTAGTCCGTCGTAACTGCTGCTGTAGACTTTTAATCTTTCTTTTTAATTTGTCTTCTAGGACTGGTCTCCCAGTGTTCTGGTCTTCTGCAGGTTCTGATTTCTTGCAGTATGCATGGTCGAGGTTAACTTTGTCTACTGACGTCAATGGCTGACAATCGCACGGGGTCTTCATCCGTCTGCGTGCAGTCCTGGATATGCCGTAGTTAGATCTGATGGGTTTATGGAATGTAGTTGGCACAGCATTATTCTTCAATCTGCAGGTTCCATTATCAGATGGTGGAATGATATACTCCCGATGATGAAAATGGTTGCTGCAGACATGGCTATACTTTGTTGCCTTCCACTCTGGACGGTTGTTTGCATCCCTCACTGCCTCCTCCCACTTTTCAAGAACTGGTGGGTTGTTTAAAGGAAATCTAAATGTGTTTATATCAAATTCCATATATACAAATTATTCTTGCAAAATTTGAATTGTTCTTGTGTTGAATATCATGTACTATGGGCACGGAATAGACTTTTATCCAATATAATAGAGCTTTGTAACTTTATCATATTTATTGTTAACCCATTGGCTGGCAATGTGCCCAAATGCATCCGATTTTAGTATTTATTCTGTCTAATGCCAGACGATTTTACTCGTCAGTGTTAGAGTCCTGCCAGGGAATGGGTTAACAAACCTATCTGCCAATGTTTCTTATTAACCCGCTGACTGGCAATGCACCCTACTTTAGTATTTACTCTGTCTACGTACATCAGACTATTTTACTCGTCAGTGGTAGAGTCCTGCCAATGAATAGTTTAATCTACTGTATTGAGTGCCAGCACTCTCCCATCAATGAGTAAAACTGTCTAGCATTAGAGTAAAATAATAATGTACAGTACAATGAGAGTGCAGTGCAACTTAATGGGTTAAATCAGTCTTCTTACCAGTCAATAATTACAAATTCTTGTAAATTTGTTATTTTGAAGTATACTTATTTTGTGTGTGTATTTATATTATATGTATTTTTGAAGTGAACATTGTATTTTTGTTACAATATAACTAGAAAATCCTCACCTGTGAAATGCGACCTCTGTTTTTGTAACTTTATTTAGGTTTTTTACCCTTTTTGTATTTTTTCGCCTTGTTGTAACAACTAGCTATTACACAAGCAATGGGCATGATTAGTTTTTTAAAACCAAGATAAAATGTTTTTCTGCGACTTTTTGAGATCTTTTTACGATTTTGTTTACACTCTGACTTTTAAGAAAGGACTGGGGAGAGTTAAATTTACGCGAAACTTTGTTTTTAAGCAAAATACGCAGAAAAAGGATATTTTACACTAGGCGGCCGCTTTTGAAAGTTCAAAACTGGTTTCGTGGATAGTTTTAAGTATTTTATATCCACTAGCAGCAAAAACGTCCTGGGTAACAGTTTTCTATTCAAAATATTGCACAAGTTTGAACCTGCCGAAAAAAAATTCGCACTTTGACAACTGAAAAAAGAACTTTATAACTGCTCTACGTTCTGGAAACATGTTTTGTATTAAATTTCAGGTATTGTTGAAAGTTTTTAGCTTTTTTCCTTGTTGAAATACAGCTATTTAGTGGTCGAAAACAGACATCTTTTAGGCGGTGTATTTTCCACTCCATACCTACATGGCGGCCATCATGCGTAGCTTCAAAGATGGCGGCCAAGTTACCGTTCCAGTTGTCTTACAGTTCACTGAATTTAACTCGCAAAAAACTTCAGTGACCCCCATTTTTTATTTCATAAAATGATTTATTTTGGTATTTTGAATTATTTTCATGATTTAAAAAAAATCCTGTCATGCCGAAATGTTTCAAGAGGGGAAAATTTTTTTGTCATGATAGAATTTATTTAAAATCATTAAAATAATTTAAAGTACCAAACGAAATCATTTTATAAAACAAAAAATGGGGATCACCAAAGTTTTTTCGAGTTAAATCACTTTAAACATAAAATAACCGCCATGTTGTGATGTCATTATCGCGATCCAACGGCAGTTAAGAGTCCTTTTTAAAAAAATTCCGAACTCCTTAGTTATTGTGTTATACAACTCAGATACTATTTGTTTTTAACAAATAATAATTCCACAGAAATATCCAAAATCATATCCAAATCAGAAAATCTTTAAGCTAGACACCTTAAGGGGAATAATTATGTACGTACCGAAATTTTCCGCTTGCTCTGTTTGTCTTAATGTGTGGGATTCATGTCCCGAGTTTTTATTGTAACTTTGAAAACGTCGTCGTTGGTATATGATCACACCAAGTGATAGGAGGAAACATAGGACTAAAAGAACCAGCGGTATTATCAGATCCATGCGAGTTTTCTTGTTTCCAGATGAAAGTTCTGTTGTTTTACTATCACGCAAATATTCCACTAGAAAAGAGTAGAAAATAACTTCTAGGTTTGCATGGTGAGAAGTATAAATGTTTTTTTCTGGAAAACACCGTGCTTGTTAAAACTGTTTAACGTTTAGGACTGCAACACTGATTGGGCCTAATAGTAAAAAACGATACCTTTGCTATGTAGCTACAAAAATTAACGTCATAATTTCGAATTCCTCAAAGCAAAACTGAAAAATAACAAAAGATGTCCAAAACGCACTAATGATTGGGAATCGTTTCTGAATGCATGGCTAGTTGATATGGATGACAGTGTACCTGTAATTATGTCCAAAATTTATACATAGGACGTGAGGTATACTAATTTCTGCAGTAAACGAAATAACATACCTGGAAGGTTTGGCATAGTTTTGACACTGTTGCTCCATTCTGTCGAGTAGTAAGACTCCTAGGCAAACAATTATGGTTACGTAGTTTTATCTAGTATAAAAGTATTTTAATTAGTGTGCACATGCTGTCTCTTTATTCAATGATATATCTACATTACGGAGTTACTCTAATCACGATGGGTAAAAAAGACAGCAAATTTGGCCACGTACATATAACTTTCTGTCGTTAGTTTGGAATATCACAAAACTCCCTCACAGGATAGAACTTAACATCCCTAAAAATCGTATGTTTTTTCTTTTTCGATTTTGTTAATTTTGGCGGGAAAATTACGCGCCGACTTTGGCGCCAAAAAATTAAAGACGAGCTAAGAACATACTAGTAACTTTTTTTGAAGAGATTGTCCTATAAGGATCTGTAAAAACATTAAAAATACAACAAGGCGTTCATTACTTATACCTGGCTTGCGTAAAATCTCAGGAACACGACATAATTTGAATTTTGTTTGAGAGGTTGATTGATGTATTTTACTTTTTCAGAGTTGTACTCCTTCCCATCACCGACGACCAATGTCAAAGGTAGAATATCAGGTTTTAAATAGGCAGTGATATAAGGATCTTGTGTGTTGGCTATGTAAGGGTTGAGTTCGCTTGTTTCAATATATTCACTTGGTATTTGGCTGCTTGTGGCAAGTTGCACAATGACCATCACTTCTCTGAAAATAGGAAGAATCAAAGTATTGTACTGTTAAAGTCCCGTACAGACAAGCAGGTTTTCCTTAACAAGTTACTTGACGAATTTAGTTCTTCATGTTTACGACGAACAAGGTTTTTTCAATCCCGTTTTCCATGACAAATTTTACGAGTTTACGCTATTAAAGTATGGAAATAATTTTATGATAATCTTCGTTCAAAGCTGCTTTGAACAAAATTACAACAACTGAAATGGTCACGACACCACACTATATGAAAGGGAATTTCACAAGAAACGTGGCCGCTCGAAATAAGCACGTAGTGACGCGCCACGCAGATTACTACTTGGTTTTCTTGCATCCCTGCCCTTTCCACCAGACGCTTGTAGACGAGAACTGCCCTTCTTCTTTTCTTAGCGGTTTTAATGTGCGTATATCGGCTTTCTCTCATCTCATGAGTCCAAATTCCTAAGTCTACCGCCGCCATGCTTGCCTTTATTAGTTGTGTTAGTCAGAGACTTCTTGCCAGCTTTCCAGTGGCATAACTACTATATGTGTTCGGACTGGGCAAACCCGGGGGCTCCCAACCCCAATGGGCCAAATCGGGGCCCACAGGCTCAGGCTGTAGAGCAAAAACATTGGTCAGGCAGGCCTCTGATATGTTACAATGTCGTTTTCTAACCATCAGAATTCTGTAAAATCTCTCCCTAAAGTCCGGGAAATGAGCATGCGCATACCCATTCTCCGGGTGAGCATGCCCTGGACCCCTTAGAAAACTCGTGCGCTCGACGGCGCTCGACTCGTGTCTTCGACACGGCGCTTGACTCGTGCCTTTGGCATTTCTACTAGGGGAGCCTTCGAAAATTTTCAACCGGGGGCTCCCTGATACAACGTTACGCCACTGCAGCTTTCCCTGCTATAATTCGAAATATCGTAGCACGCAAAATGCCAGTTTACTCCATAATTTCCCTTGTTGGTCTTTTTTTGTTTTCAGCCAAATATTTTACACAAGCTCTTGTCTCTGCTCTAATAAGCCCTTTAAAACCATGTTTATTTAGTTTAAAAGCATGTTTAGTGACAGGGGTAGAAATTAAGATGAATGAAGTCTGTGCTAAAAAGGATATTACATGTTCTCTTTTTTTGTACCTTTATAAGAATACTCATACCACAGTGTTATACAGGGCGTCTAAAAAAAAAACAAAAAAAAACGCTACGGAAATTCAAACAGGGCTGTTGTGCATCATAAACGTAGCTAAACAGTTCGATTTTTACATAGGAAGAAAGAGCTGTTATTTAGCTTTTTTATGACACGTTTTTGAAATCGTAACGATGAGCTAGAAATGGCCACACACTCGTCAAATAAAAACTGCTGGTCGAAATCACATTCTTCCACCGTTGGGAATTGAAAATACATTAATTATGCAAAGTTAGTCAATCCAAAAGCAACGCGAGTCTGCTACAAGCTATTTGTTTCATAAAACGTTTTGATAACGAATGTTCTCTGTTCAGGGGTTAATTGAACCATGTTTCGTACCAAATTCGTATTGAGTTATTGTCTCACGAAGACGAAGATTGACGAGTTGAGCTTATTTTAGATAATTTAACATTCAATTATAGTTACCTCTTGCGAATTGTTTATGTTTCGTTTGCGATGCAATACCCAACGGTGGAAGAATGTAATTTTGACCGGCAATAGTTTTATTTGACGAGTGTGTGGCCATTTCTCATCGTTACGACTTAAAAAGAGTATCATTGAAAAGCTAAATAACTGCTCTTTCGTCCTATATAAAAATCGAATTGTTTAGCTACGTTTATGATACACGACAGCCGGTTTAATTTCCGTAGCGTTTTTTTTTAGACACCCTGTAGACGTTTTAAGTCTTGTTTCAATCATCAATTAATTTTCATAAATTATTGACCCTGTATAATTAATTGAAGCGCTTACTTAATCACGATTGAAAGACACAGCTAAAGCTGATAAGGTAGTGAATAATATCCCCCCTCCGTGAATAATATCCCGCCTCCCAATTTTTGTATCTGCGAAGCAGATATATATGCTATCGCAAACGTACCGTACTGTTACCGTACCGTATGTTAACACATAGCCATTCAGCGACGGGCTTATATATTTTAAGCCATTTTATGCCAATTTAAGCCAATCAGCGATTCGTTTACATCAATTGTTTACATCGTGCCCGCATCTAACCTGCGAATGGGCATATTTTAGCCTCGTCAGGCCTCGTGTATAAATCGTGTTTATATTCTTTCAAAAATATCTTGATATTTTTATCAATTTATCTTGAATTGGCTGTCTTGTTTTCTCGCCATTCTACTTGCGATATTATTCCGAAGTTATT